CCCTGCTCTTCCTATCCTGTTTACAGTGGGGTGTTTTAGTGCCCCCTGCTTGTTCGCCCCAGTTGTCTTTAATACAAACTGCTGAGATTTCCTCAGTCCCCTTAAAGTCTGGGTAGAAGTACTGTAGGAAACTGTTATGTTATTAAAACAATCTAACCTGAAACTGTTTGTTTCATGAATTAGTATCAAGTCCCTCAGTTGTTCCCTACTTCCTTGTAAGAGGTGGATCTCGAGCCCACATTTATGCATCTGTATTACTCTAAAGACAGACAGCCCTCTTATTCAGATGAATGGTTGCTTCTCACCAGGTTCAGTTGGATTATATGCAGTTATCCTGCCAAGTTCCTTTAGGGTAGGATATGAAACACCACCCCCCACATGCAATGCACAGTTCCCAGCACCCACCCAGCTCACCTGCAGGAGCAGCAGCAGCAGTAGCAGCAACTGGGCGCAGCCTCTTATGGCCATGTCTGGGTGGTCACTGGGCAGTCCTTGGAGCCTGGTGGCCTCACCAGGAGCCAGGCACCTGCTTTCCAGCCAGGGACATCTCCTCTAGTCACTCTCTTGAGAACTTCGCCCCTGATACTTCAACTTAGCCGATCCTTCAGTCCTCTGCCCCGCTTGCATTTGTCAGAACAGGTAGGCTGAGGGGTAAGTGTGACCTCATCTGTGGCCAGCAGAGTCTAGGGGAGCAAGTGCTCAGATACCAAACACCAGTCATGTGTGTACACAGAAAACTGGCTGGATGTCCACCTCGGGGATTATAGCTCAGCCAAGAAAAGACAGCCTGTACCTACAGGAAGACGGAGTTCATCGTTTCTTTGTTTCTTGGTTGGTTTTTAGTTTCTAAATAGAAGTCCAATAATCCCTCAATAGTAGGGCAATTAATGGTGCTTAAAATCAGTCAAAACTGGAAAAACAACCCCAAGAAATTATAGAGCGCTAACACACATGCGTGCGCACGCATACACACACACACACACACACACACACACACACAGAGAGAGAGAGAGAGAGAGAGAGAGAGAGAGAGAGAGAAAGAGAATGGTGCACACACACACACACACACAGAGAATGGTGGTAGCTCAACAAACATGCTAGCCAGTTCCCCTTTCTGTTTTCTAATTGCACATCTGCTGGGCCAGACACTCAGTGGACACAGAACACAGCAATAAACAAACACAATAAATAGGGAAGAATCCTGTCTTGGGGTGATCACACTCTGGTGGAACCCCACATAACTATACCGGGGGAAATGTGGGATGAAGAAAGAAATGAAGGAGACTTGGGACAAGACTCCTCTATAGAGCATTTACCCATCATGCATATGGAAAGGCCCTGGCTTCCTTCTGCAACTAGCACAGAAAAATAAGTTACTTTTCTACAACTCCCCAAAGTATGTTACAAAATCTTTATTCTAAGCACATCTGGACTCTACACTGTACAGACGTTTCTACCCAAACCTCTTGTGAATGAAGATGGAGTTAAAGCGTAGGCAGAGAGATGGAAAAAGAGCAAATTTTGAAGCAAAATCTGAACTTGGACTTTGGCAATCTTAATTAATATATGAATTGTTGTCTCCTTATCTCTCCCAAAGTCATGACCAGCTTTCAGCAGGCAAAATGGGTAATCTTTCTCATCAGCTTCCTGTGTCCGCGGAGTGTGAGCTGCAGCTGTGTGTGCTGAACTGTTAGCATCTTAGCTCCTCTAATTCTGCCATTGAAAAGTGGCAACGGTGTGGCGGGCTGTTAGTTTTCCTATGGGGAGAGAGAGAGAGAGAGAGAGAGAGAGAGAGAGAGAGAGAGAGAGAGCAGGGTGCTAGTGCTCCTATGCAGAAAGAGAGAAAGAAAGAGAGAGAAAGAGGGGGGTGGCTGCTAGTGTTCCTCGCAGAGAGAATCGGTAACAACAGCTGAGTTTAGTTCGTGCTCATTTCAGAGAAAGCGAATTGCTCTGCCCATAGCCTGTGAGACCTCCAAGCATAGTCCCTAATGTGGAGTCTGTCAAGTCACATGAGCCATGCCTGGACAAGAGCGGTGCAGAGCCCCACGGGAGAATGAGGTCAGATTGTAGGTTACAAAGCTCTGGGAAGGAACCCAAGGATGCTGGGAACAGCTCCACTTTACACTTGTTCTGAGTTGAAAAAAAAATGGCATTTTAATAAATTAGGAGAGACCAAATTTTCAATGCCCTGAAACATTTAAATATATCTGGGCCAAATGCCATTTGAGCATTACATGGCCCTTTTCCCACCAGCTGCACCCTAGTGTGTGCTTTCTAAGCCCTGGAGTTCCGGTGACAACCAGCCAATGCCCTGACTGGGCTTGGAAGCACAGTATTAGTTTGGCAGCCACTTCGTGGCTACTCTCAGCTCCCCAGAAGCTGACAGAACAGAATGGAAGGTCTTCTGGGAGGATGAGAAGGAAGGTGAGAGCCACTGTTGGTCCCCCTAACTCAACATGCTCACCTCAGGTGCTCAAGGGAGCACTCCCCAAATGTTCAACATTCTGTTTAATGGCAACAAGCAATGCATACCAGAGGAATACTTTTGTTTCAAATATTCCATGCCAACCCATTTCTGGGAGTGCTAAGCACTCACTGAGTTTTATACTTAGGGCTGTTGGATAAGATGTCTTGAACATGGTCATTTGTGGGCTTTCAAGTGGAAATGTATTTTTGGAAGGTTTCCACCTGCTCAGGTAAACCTTAGTTGAGAACCCTTAGCTGAGAATAAAGAAGCATTAAACGTATCCTATCCTGAGAGCCACCGACAATGGGGGCTAAACATCTTAGGACTTCAGAACTGACCCTGCCAGGCCCCCAGCTGCTTCTCGGCCCAGTCTGATCTCCCCACCTCTGCTGCCCACAGCAGGGGTGAAGGAAGAGGTAACTGCCTTCTGATATTTAACTCCAGGACTCCTTCCTGGGCCCTGGGTGCTCCTTTCTCATGCCAGAGTCAGATGGGAACATCCGGGGTGCACTGGTGAAGAATCCGTGGGTGTGAGTGCACACTTGACTGCGAGGCTTGGATTTCTGCTGAGCCCGTAGCCCAGCTGGTGGGATGGGGACTGCTGCGGACAGCTAGCCCTGGGGAAGGACACATACCCATACTGTCAACACGGGCATTGCTTACGTATATGAAGAAAACACTCTGAGAGATGCCATAGCTGGAGCTGAACCTTCCTTGCTGTCTCCAGTGGGGTTCTTGCTGGCTCAGGAGGTAGAGGACATAATCTCAAATAGAGAGATGTCATGGCTTGTGGTGCTTTCTCCATTGAGATGGGGCAGCAGAAGGCTGGACGAACCCATGTTTCCCATTTGCAACCTCTGATGGAAAAGAGCCTGGATCCCAGAGAACAGGGAGAGACACCCCAGTGAGAAGCTACAGCCTGCTATCCTTCCTTATGCTGGAATAGAAGGGAAGACACCAGGCCAGGGACAGAGGAGTCCAGCCTACTCAGAGGGAGGAGAGAGACTTGACATCAACCTAATAGACTAGACGCCTTCAGCCAACCAAAGTGACTAGAGGAAAATGCACGCAAGACGGAATAGCTGAGAGACTACAAGGGCATGGTTCAAAAATGGCCCGTTAGACAGCCATTGGGTCCACCAGTAACCAGCCAATCAGTGAGCTCAGTGTCCTGCTTCTCATGGTCACAAGGAAAGCTTCATTCCACAGGAATCTCAAGAAGAAATGTGTATGTATGTGAGGTGTGTATGTGCAGGCATACTTACATGCATGTGTGGTGGTCAAAGGTTATCCTTGGGAGTCACCCCTCAAGAACCACTTACCTTATTTTTGTTTGTTTGTTTTTTTTTTTTTTTTGAGACAGGGCTTCACTGTATAGCCCTGGCTACCCTAAAGCTCACTCTGTAGACCAAGCTGGTCTCAAACTCACAGAGATCCGCCTGCCTCTGCCTACGGACCACTGGGAAGGAAGGTGTGGGCTACCATGCTCTACTTACCTTCGTTTTTGAGACAGGTTTCTCACTGGCCTTGAGTGCATTAATTGTCCTAGGCTGGTTGGCCAGCAAGCCCCAGGGATCCTTCTCTTTACTTCCCAGCACTAGGATGACTCGTGCCGCCATAACTGGCTTAAAATATTCTAAATTACATTTGTTTGTTTGTTTATTGTGTGTGCTCATTTATGGGTACACATGTGCCCACAGCGCACAGGTGGGGTTCAGATGGCAACCTGTGAGTGCTGTACCGTCTCCTTCTCAGAGATCCCTCTCAGGTCATGGGGCTTGACGGAAAATGCCTCCACCCACTGAGCTGTCTCGACGGCCCATGGGTTCCTGAGCACAGACTCAGGCCCTCGTCCTTGTGTGGTAAGCACTACCATGACAGGTCTGCCTCGCCAGCCCAAGAACAGACAAAACAAACACACGAACATCAAGGAGAGCTCTGTTTTCCCAACAGTGGCGTGGCTCTGTAAGTTAGGCCTGCTGTACACAATGGCCACCAAGAGGAGGTTACAGACCCCAAGGTAGAGATATTCCTGGGCGGTACTGTGCCTCTGGAGCTCAGAGGGAATCAGTGGTCAGAGGCTACAGCTAGGAGAGGCCAGAGCAGATGAGGTGGCCTGCTGGCCACGGGGTGTACACGAGGAGCCTGCAGGTGCTTGCTGTACTTCTTTCAACTTTCCCGTAGGCTTGAAAATGCTCACTGTGCAGTCCTGCAGCACTAGGGCATGGATCTCACCCCGAGTAATATGTTCACCCACACCTAGCTGCACAGACAGTAAGCTTTGGGGTTCCAACCACATCTGCCCCCAGCCCCACCAAGTGTGCCCATCGTGCCTGACTTTTCCCAGAGGTTCTAGGGGAAAACTCAGGCCCAAGTGCTTTACCAAGGGAGCCAGCGCTCATGGCCTAGCCCCACCTTTTCACCTTTCGCCTTTATGCTTCTATACTAGCAAAACTATACTATGCTATCCTACAGCAATCCTGTTGGAAACTTTCAGTCACACCAATAAGTTCTGAAGGGTTATGGGAGAAAGGCTAGAAAACTACAAAGAGGAAGAGCTTTAAAGGGCTTCTAGTTGATTTCTCCATATCAAGTTCTGAATGAAGACATATTTCTTTTTTAAAAAACAAGATTATTTTTAACTGTACATAGATGGGTGCTTGCCTGCATGCATATACGTGTACATGTGGTACCCAGGGATGCATATATGTGCACACGTGGTACCCGGGGAGGTTAGAAGATCGGTTTCCCTGTAACTGGAGTTGCAGACAATTGTGAGCCACCACATGGGTCCTGGGATCTGAACCCAGATCCTCTGCCAGAGCAGCAACTCCCACCTATGCAGCAGAAAGACCTGCTTCCCCAGTTTCCTGCCGGGGAGTTTATTAAAATGCAGACTGTCCCACAGGTCTGGGGAGGATCACAGGGGAGTTTATTAAAATGCAGACTGTCCCACGGGTCTGGGGAGGATCACAGCAGGAGTGGCGTGAAACTGGGGGGCTTCACAGGAGCTACCGGGAAGCATTCACTACTGTTTTCTCTGCAGGGCAGACATGTGTGACCCCATGGTCACCCAGAACAGGGGAAGGGCATCCATGTACAACAAGACAGGTAACACAAAAGCACAATAGCTTTACACGTCACGTCTCATTGACCAAGAGTCTTCAGAAGATCCCGGGGTCCTGGAGGAGGGGAGGGGATACCGTTTTGTGCAAGAAAACCTGTACAGTTATGCAGAAATGCTGACATGCCGGAACACCTGGGTCTGTCTTTGAGGCTAGAAGACAGGAGACTGCCTTCTTGGCCACTCTTGCACAAAAAGGCAGTGGAAAGGGAGGGAAGGACTCACGTGTTTCCAGCTGCTTCGAGGTTCTAGTTTAAACAGCTCAGCTGAGGGGCGGGGGCAGGGAAGATTAGGTCAGAAAGGACTTGCTTGTGAACCCCTCCTTTATAACACTGTTAGCACACCAAGGCACCACACTTCGGGGTGTCCCTTCCTGAGCCCCGTGCGTTTACGGCAAGCTTCGCGACAGCATCCACAGAGATCCATTTTAATATTCCATGTATATTTACAGCGCTGGTATTGCCAATTACTCAGACGGTGAATGGACACGGGTGGGTGGGCATATTGGGTGGTATTTTACGGAAGTGGGTTCTCTGTGAAGATTTTATAGATGTCGCGTTATTTCACATCTGCCGGGCGGGGCCTTGTGATTAGGGAACTATCCAGGAACACCAGGGAGTTAACCACACCTAACAGTTCCTTTGCTCTCTGGTGGCAGAGGACAGACAAGCGAAGAACCTGCTTTGTGTGGGAAGCCAAGCAGTGCTTTCTCTCCCATTCCGTTTTGATCTTAGTACAAAGGTCTGCTCCATCAGAAGACACTAACATAAATTCACCAGGGTCTCACAAGGTTTGGTCGCCACCTAGTGGATGATCAGGTAACGACCACTAAAATAACCACCATTCATGCCCAATCTAAGCCTGGATTTTAGATCTCCAACTTGGTTAATTTGGCTAAGAACAGAGAACCATTTCTAACCCACCACCACGACTGCCACAGTTTGGCACCCTCAGAGGCACGTTGTGGTGACATTTTGTTTGTGTTTTAACAAATAAAGCTTGCCTGAAGATCAGAGTGAAGAGCTAAGCAACTAGAGGCCAGGCAGTGGTGGCTCATGCCTTTAATACCAGCCCTCAGGAGAAAGATGCAAACGGATCTCTGTGAGTTCAAGGCCACCCTGGGATACTTGGAGATTGATCCAGCCTCCAAAGAGGAACAGAGCTCACACAAAGGTGATCTTAGCTCTTGGGATCCTACACATTTAAAGTCAGCACTGGGGAGGTGGAGACAGGAGTGATACGGCTGGGCAGATAGAGGAATACAAGGTGGGAGGAGACAGGAGCTCAGGGCAGTCTGAGGCAGCAATTGGAAGCAGTCATTCTGAGGATGTAGTCTGGGGAGGCAGTCTGAGGACAGAATTGCCCTTTGGGTCTGAGGATTTGGTATAGGTGAAAGGTCTCTCTAATGCTGGCTTCACCTCTTCTCCGATCACTCAGCTTTCACCCCCTACTATCTGACTTCAAGTTTTTATTAAGAACAATTAGAATTTGTTTTACAGAAAACACTTTACTGTCAGAAGTGAGCTTGGGAAGAGGTGCAAAGGCCTCTGGGAAGGTTTGCAGCAGGCCCTGTCCTCTCCCAGGACACCCCTCAAAGCCCCAACCACTTTCAGATGTGCCAGGTGAGGTGTGAGCTCACTGTGCCACACTGTTGCTACAATTCCTTCCTGAAGGAGACCTAAATTATATGTGTCTACCCCTCCTCCCAAAGTCCCACCGATAAACCAAGATAGGATTACCACCAGAGTTCACTCAGGGAACCAATGCGTTTATGAGGCTTCCTTATGGGGCAAGGGTGGACTGCAGGCAACGGTGTTGGTGGCCCTATAGCAGCTCCACTGGAAGATCTTCTCCATGCCATAGAAGGTGGCATAGACGGAGCCCCTTCCCTATTCCTTCTCAACCTATATCCTCTAGCTCCCCCCAAAAGCCAAGTACAATTGGGGCGGAATTGCACACACGTGGTTAGGATTGTCTAGATGCTCCAGCGAGAGACCAGTAACCTTCCTCACCCTCCTCCTAGGAGGGCAAGTTGAGCATCAACAAGCCCAGCTGTGGTGATCCTCTGCAAGTGGGCACAGCTGGATTCAGAAAGATGGCAGCAGGAGGCTCGTCCTGCACAAGACACAGAGAACCTGCAGTCCGCTCCTCACCTGCCTACCCCTCCACAATGATTCCCATCATCCCCAGCCATGCGTCTCTGATGCAGGGAGCAGTGCTCGTCACACTTACTCCTGGGCAGCGTCAGCAAGAAGGGCAAGGGAACAGAGTGCCACCCTCAGCAACTCTGGGGAAGAATCAGACAAACCAGAAAGACAACAGAAATCAAACCCAGCCAGAAAAATCCAGGTATATGTCCTGTTTAATCGGGCTGGAGGAAAACTTATACATGAGTTCTGTTTTGCCACATACAAAACCAAACAGTATTACAACAGTCAATGAACATGCTGCATATATTCAGGTCACACAATTAAACAATAAATACTGCTATTACGTTGGATGCACTACCACCAGGGTTTGGACTTCTACCTAACTCTTCAAGTATATGAATGAGAAACAAACGTGTAAGCCATGTAAGAAGCTCTTAGGTCTTTCTAGAACAGGAGCCCAAGAGGACAAAGGATCCGAACAAACTTTCCCTTTCCGTGAAGACCAAAGGTGTCGATCGTCTCTCCTGCAGTCTATAAGCTTCAAATCAGTTACGGATCTTCAGTCCGTTGGTCATCTGGGAAACAGTCCAAAGCCACGCCACCAGTGATGACCTACAGGGCTTTGTGGTCTTTCTCCACAAACAGGTGTCACTCAAGCCCCAGACACTGTTTTCCTCAAGGTCTTCTTGGGTTTGACTGGACTTGGGAGCTAAGTAAACATCTCCGAAATGAGAGGTGCTTCCGGAAGCACACCGATTTGCCCCTGTAGCAGGATACTCTGGCTTGGCCTTGAACTGAATGAGTTCACAGTCCAGTGTTCAATGCTGTCCACTTGCCTGTGTGGGATGTCTTTAGAGACCAAAGAAAAAGCTATGTCTGACCAGCTGCAGTCAATGTAACTGTAAAAAACTGCATTGTTCAGTAGCACCCTGTCCTATAACATAATACTGTTTAAAGTGGACACTCAGCTCAGGCAAAGAAGTAAACCAAGTCACCCCTTCAGGCCTCTAGGGCTGTCTAAAGAGAACATGAATTCTAGTCCCCAGCCCAGGAATCAACTTCCATTAAGTGCTGGGAACAAACACATGAGGCACCATCTCTACATTTTTTTTCCATTGTGAGTTTCAGTCCGGACATACACCCCCAGGGCCAGGGGAAAAGAAACTTGACTTTCACACGCCAGGGTCTCTAGGAACACCCACACGGTCGGTGACGGGAAAGGGAACCTGGTAGCACTACTCCAAGGAGCATCTAAGTACATGTGTGCATATAATGTCATGCTTCCGCTTACGGGACCTGCAGCTTCCTAAAGATCCACATAAAAATCTAAAGAATGAGAAAGGAG